GCGGTCCCAGGGACCGAGCCTGTGATGTCAGAGTTCCCATACATCATGAAAAAATTGGTGTAATTTCATTAAAGGTCAGGTGTTCTGAAATAGTTCGACATATTGGTGCATATTTTGAAGGAAATGTGGGTTAAGTGCTTAAAGCACTAAACCTAGTAGTTATAGTCCATGATATGCTGAATAATTCTATATATGAACCCACTCAAAAAAAAAATGGCCACCAAGGATCTTGAAAATATAAAAATGTATCAATATTCATTAAATATTTACTATTTTCCGTATTAATGTTACATGAAAAAAGCTCTTAACCTATTGAATAATTTAGGTTATAGAAAACTGGCTGCCACTTTCAAGATGGCCATCAAAAACTTGAAAATATACATAATTATTTGTATATGTTGTTTTAATGTTGGGACATAATCATAGGCATAAAAAAATTCAATATGTTTCATTATTTTTGACAATCTTTGTCAGATTAATGTTTACAAGATCTATCTGGTCTATCAGTATTTAAATATTACAAAAGTTACAGATGTGGCAATGTCAGAAGTCCTATACTTAAAACATATAAATTATCATGTGTTTTTGACTGTCTTTATTCCTGTCTATGTTCTCCTCCACATATACACAGGGCTCTAAATATCATCTGTTTTTTTAACACATTTTCATCTTCCCCTGCAGCCTTTGTTTACTTTACATGATCTAGGCAGCAGTCTGATGCTTTTAGCAGTGAAATCAAAAATGGCTACTAAATTTGTGACTTCCTGTCCAAAATCAGCTAGGGAGAGGTACTAGTGAAACAACTAAAACCAACCAACATACAAATTAAGCTTATGGTAACAGATACTCATGTAGTGTATACAATTAACTATATTACTAAATCACTTTTTTTTTATTAGTACCAATTACCTTTTATTTTGTAAACAAGCTTTTTGGTTTGGTAGATTTGCTTTTGTGTCTTTTTCTGAATGCAAAGAAAACTATATCAATATACTACTCGTAACATTCTAAACTTTTGGTCTTTAGTATAGTAGCAAACTTAATACCATTTATAATTATTAATCGCTTGTTTACCATAGGGGCATACTTTGATAAGGGTTGATTTTTAAAATTGAATCCAATAATATACAACCTGTAGGGCCATTTTTCAATAAATCAATCAACTACAAATTTTTTGATATTTCATTAATTTTCCCAGGTTACTTGGACTACAAAATATCTGGTTACTACCAAAAACCAAAATTAAAAGCAAATCTCTACACACAAATTTTAAGTTTCACCTCCATCATTTTTTTTGTGTAATCCCTAAAACCTCCTAAATGCATTTCAAACGTTTTTTTTACTAAATCCTAAAAGTTTATATGTTAATTTCTCTACCCTAATCTCAAAACGGAATCGGTCTATTCGACCCACCTCGTAACCACAAAAAAAAAAATCGAAATAAACCTAAATTAACCTTCTTTTCTTTCTAGTATGACTTCAAATTGTAACATGCAACTACATTCAT